CAATACCCTCCATCGCAGCCCGCAGAGTTTTCAAGTCCATAATATCCCCATAGCGAAACTCTAGTCGCGGATGGTCCAATGGCAGATACTGGATGTTACCTTGAAAGCATGAGATGCACTATTACAGTTCTCACTGCAGTTCTATCAGAAGTACTACACATTTCGCTCAACTACTGCTACATCAACCGAGTTCCACAGGCGAACACTCACACACCTAGGAAACCAATACAAAATGCACATCTGTGAGTACCGGAATGAGCCCAGTAAAAATCCACCACAACCGTGTATTTTCACAAGTAACTCGTATAGAACCAACTACCTGTCACTAAATTGTCCAAAACCCGCACTTTGTATCCCAACTCCAACAATTCCTCGACTAAATTCGATCCAATGAAGCCAGACCCCTGAGACTTCTCATCAGACCGCATATTCGAGACACTGGAGTGCATGATACCAATCCCGGCCCTACCCCAGTAACCAACACTGTCTCATCAGCTCCCGCAGCGACTGCTTCCAGCTCCCGGTAGGGCTTTCCAAAACAAGGGTCAACTAAAACATCATCGTGATGAGCAAATCATCCTCACACACGGAAAACACCAAAAACGATACTTGCCGAGCCAATGGCCAGTATCAGCTCGCAAACACAATTTTCGATAGTGTTTAAAGTCGACAAATCAACTAACGCCTATACCAAAGTTGGAGAGAGGATACACATGCTCAACTACGCGTGTTGATGAAGGGATAAAAAACCTTATCGATTCTCATACACCTCTACCCCAAGTCTTATGTGAATTTCTTCATAATATGGCTTTGGAAACTACTGAGCTTGGCTGAGAAAACCAAACATATATACTTCAACATTGATCGAAACAGCGAGCACAACTACGTCTGCCTACCTCCCAACTTCGCTTGAGTCGTATCCCAACCATTGACGAGCCACTTCCCTATACTCATCATTGCGAACAGGAGCACCTGCGATTCCACTGATGGAAGCGCAAAACGATTCTCGAGCATTTGGTAGATATTATCAGCACTC